GGTGGTGAGTGGCCCTCGGGTGATGGTGAGTGGCCCTGGGGTGGTGGTGAGTGGCCCTCGGGTGATGGTGAGTGGCCCTGGGGTGGTGGTGAGTGGCCCCTTGGGGGTGAGTGGCCCCTGGGTGGCGGTGAGTGGCCCTGGGTGGTGGTGAGTGGCCCTCGGGTGGTGGTGAGTGGCCCTGGGGTGGTGGTGAGTGGCCCCTGGGTGGTGAGTGGCCCTCGGGTGGTGAGTGGCCCCTGGGTGGTGGTGAGTGTCCCTTGGGTGGTGGTGAGTTGCCCTCGAGTGGTGGTGAGTGGCCCTCAGGGATGAGTGGCCCCTGGGTGGTGGTGAGTGGCCCCTGGGTGGTGAGTGGCCCTCGGGTGGTGGTGAGTGGCCCCCGGGTGGTGGTGAGTGGCCCTTGGGTGGTGGTGAGTGGCCCTCGAGTGGTGGTGAGTGGCCCCTGGGTGGTGGTGAGTAGCCCTTGGGTGGTGGTGAGTAGCCCTGGGGTGGTGGTGAGTGGCCCTCAGGGGTGAGTGGCCCCTTGGGGCATCAGGGATGCCCCTCGGGTGTCCTCAGCATGGGGACGTCCCCAAGGCCGCCCCTGCGCCAGGGTTGGCAGCCAGGGGGGAGGATCGTCCTGCCGGGGCGGTGCCGGACCTTGGGAGGACTCCTTGGGGCTCGAGGGATCCCCTAAATCTTGGGAGGACTTCGAGACATTCAAGGGATCCCATAAACCTTGGGAAGATTCCTTGCAACTCGAAGGATCCCCTAAACCTTGGGAGAACTCCTTGGGGCTCGAGGGATCCCCTAAATCTTGGGAGGACTTTGAGACATTTAAGGGATCCCCTAAACCTTGGGAAGATTCCTTGCAACTCGAAGGATCCCCTAAACCTTGGGAGAACTCCTTGGGACTCGAGGGATCCCCTAAACCTTGGGAGAACTCCAAGACATTCAAGGGATCCCCTAAACCTTGGGAGGACTCCAAGACATTCAAGGGATCCCCTAAACCTTGGGAAGGCTCCTTGGGTGTTGAGGAATCCCCTAAACCTTGGGAAGACCCTTTGGGGCTTGAGGGGTCTTCTAAGCCTTGGGAGGACTCCTTGGGGCTCGAGGGATCCCCTAAACCTTGGGAGAACTCCAAGATATTCAAGGGATCCCCAAAACCTTGGGAGGACTCCCTGGGGCTTGAAGGATCCCCTAAACCTTGGGAGGACTCCCTGGGGCTCAAGGGATCCCCTAAACCTTGGGAGGACTCCCTGGGGCTCAAGGGATCCCCTAAACCTTGGGAGGACTCCCTGGGGCTCAAGGGATCCCCTAAAC